CAACAACCCTGTGAAAGTAGGTGCTACCATTTTATCACTGAGGAAACTGAGGCAGACAGAAGTTAAGGGACTTGCCCAGGGCCAGATAGCTAGCAATTATCCAAGGACAGACAATTCACATCTTCATGACTTCATAACCACCATGCAATCATTGTAGCACCCAGTTTTAGATAACTCTGATTCAGAATGCAAAGCTGTGAATGAGCAGGATGGGTATTCCCCGAATGGACTGGAGGATGAAAACTTGGAGCCCACTAGTTAAAGAGGACAATTTCTTCTACACTTCGTAGTGAAAGCTTCATTTTAAAGTACAATTCATGAAATTAGTTTTTTTTAAACCAAATTCTATCATACTTTTAAAGTAGTACAATGTAAAGTTACGTCAAACATACACCAAGAAAAAACACGACCACTTTTGGCTTGAATATTCGTAAGCTTATAACTAAACCATTTTTCTATAATTCTTCTCCATGTATATATGTGTGTGTACATACACATATGTGTGTGCATACATGTGTGTATACACATGCATGTGTGTATACATATATGTGTGCGTGTATATACACGTGTATGTGTGTGTGTATATGTATGGGTCCATATCTACTTGTCATTTCTCAGTCATCCAGTCATGTACAACTCTGCGACTCCATGGCCCTGAACATGCCAGGTCCTTCCATCCTCTACTCTCTCCCAAAGTCTGTCTAGGCTCATGCTCATTACTTCCAAGACACTCTCCATCCAACTCATCTTCTGCATTCCTCTCCACCTTTTGCCTTCAATCTTGATCATCAGGGACTTTTCAATAAGTCTTGTCCCGTGTGACCAAAGAATTCAAGCTTCAGCTTCATTATTTGTCCTTCCAATGAATGGTCTGAATTAATTTAAGATTTCACTGATTTGACCTCCTTGGTGTCCAAGGGACTTTCAAAAGTCTTCTCCAGCACCACAGTCCAAAAGCATTGATTCAGTGGCACTCAGCTTTCCTTATAGTCCAACTCTCTCAACCATTCATTACTACTGGAAGGATCATACTCGTGACTATACAGGCCTTAGTTGGCAAGACGATTTCTGTGTGTGTGTGTGTGTGTATGTGTGTGTGTGTGTGTGTGTGTGTTGTATATACACATACAAAAAAACAAAACTATGAAATAAATCGCTTCTGAAAAATCAAAGAAATGTTTTCAAAAGATTGCATGGTAGGTGAATTTAAAATTGCCTTAAATTTGTTGTTGTTTAGTTGTTTCAATCATATCCAACTCCTTATGACCCCATTTGCAGTTTTTTTGGCAAAAATTCTGGAGTAGTCTGCCATTTCCTTCTCCTGCTCACTTTATAGATGAGGAAACTGAGGCAAACAGGGTTAAGTGACTTGCTACGGGTCACAAAGCTAGTAAATGTCTGAGACTGGATTTGAACTCCAGTCTTCCTGACTCCAGGCCCAGTGCTCTATCTACTGTGCCACCTACTGCACCTGCCTTCAATTTAATTACCCAGATATACAGATGGTTCAATCAATAACTCAGTCATCTAAATCAGAGTTACAGCATTTGAGAGTTGGAAGGGACTCAGTGGCCTTCTGAGGACACCATACAGAAAAGCAGTCTCTACTGAAACATATCCACCAAGTGGTCATCCATATTGTCCCTGAAGGTTTCTAAGGCAAAGAAACTCCCCACTAGTCAAGGCCACTCATTCCACTCTTGCTGTAGTTCACATTATTTACCATCCCACGCGCCCTCACCCCCAATCTCCTTATACCTCTTGTTCTCACCCCAGTAGTCAAATCAACACTAGCAATGCATCCGGAACAGGCATCTTAAGTAACTCTCCTATGGATTCACTCACCAGCCCTGTGACTGCCCATACAAAAACTTTTCTTCCTGACCACTAGTACCTTATAATTGTTGTCTCCTGCTATTAGATCATAAACTCCTTGAGGATAGGGACTTGGGGTTTGTATTTTCAGCACCATCCTGACATACAGTAGGCAGTTTTAAATTTTTAATTATTTTTTAATTAATTAATTAATTCGGAAGCTTTTGTTTGTGTCTATCAAACCTAAACTTGCTTCTTTGCAATTTCTGCCCATAGCTCTAGGTTCTGCTCTTTGATACCAAAAATAATAAGCATTTCCTCACTTCTTAATAACCGTCATCCAAATATCTGAATGCCAAGTCTTCTCTTCTCCAGGCTAGACATGCCTAGTTCCTTTAACTCATCCTTAAATAGCTTGAACTCAAGGCCCTTGAACATTGTAGTTACCCTTCTTTGAACTCTGTCCTCCTTCTCAAAATGTGGGCCTGAGAACTGAAGACGATCCTTTAGAAGTGATCCTGTTAGGACCAGTGGAATTGTCACGTCACTGTTCCTAGGTCCATAGCACACAGTAGGACTCACCTCCAGGATACCAGTTTGGAGGTGACAGAGATGTTAGAGTTAATCTGGTCCAACGCCCTTATTATAAGGTTGAGGAAACTGACGCCAAAATGTAACTCGGCCAAAGTCTCCCAGCTGGTAATGTGTAGAACCAAGATTTGAACTCATCTTCCCCATGGCTCCAAGTTCTTATCATTGTCCCATCTCTTATTACCCACCCAGATGAAATGACTGAGTCACAAAAGCCTTAAAGACAAACATCTCTGACTTTGCTCAAGAGAGGGATTATTGTACATCCTTCAAAATACCAGAGAGATAAAGAGAAACAGTTCTCTACTCGGAAAGTATGCAGGGTGGTAACTGCTAATGGTTTTATTTTTTTTTTAACAAATAGAACTTGGGGTCACTCTGTCTCCTCTTCCCTCCATGGAGAGTTGGGCCAGCACACAGTAACAATGGAGAAATGGTCTTTCATCCCACCATACCCTCAAGGACTCTCTCATCCCCACTTGGGCCTAGCCTTACAGACAATTTGAGTTTTTGTGCTTTGCTCAAATCAATAATGAGTTTGTGAAGCTAATAATCTGTATGACTTTGCAAGATCTGAGCATGAGCAGGGAGCTATTCTGAATCCATTCCTGTCTCACAGGCTTCCTCCAAGCATCCTCTCTAATGCCTTTCTTGCCTTCCAGAGAGCACAGGGTTCAGATACAACACGTGGTAGAAGTGCCCCCCAGGTCTAGGCAGAAAAACATGCTTCATTTTACAACAAACAGAACCAAATGTAACAATATGTTTTTTTTTAAGTTGCTTTTCAGAACTCAAATGCTGATGCTTGAGGCAGAAACAATCTCCGAGCCACGGCATTCATACTATTATAGGAAGCGTGGATGCTTCACTCGTGGGCTTCCTCAGCCAGCAAGGCCTGACAAAGTGCACTGCGGCTCAAGCAGCATCTCCTGGGTGGTGATGCGGAAAAGACGGAGGGATTTTGTTGTCAATTGAAGGAATTAGGCTTTAATGCTGTCTACTAAAAGACTCCATGCCTCAGCTCTCTAACTCTTTACTACCCACTGCATCTTGAAAAAAGAGGGCCACTGAAGCTGCCACCTGGACCCGTAGACTTCCATAAATGCATTCATCGCTGCTTTATCTGCAGGGCTGGGGGTGTCGGGGCAGCTCAGGGCCTTTGGAGCTAGGCTGGCTTCTCAGCTGGGGCAGCTATCAGATGTTTCTCCATGCCATTTCCCCAAATGTGTCCTTTATAGAATTACAGAACAGGGCCATAGGATCACCTCAGTCAATCAGCGAGTGTATGTTAAGGAACTACTACGGGTCAGTTATTGTGCTAGATGCTGGGAATACTAAGATGAAGAAGAAAACGATCCTCTCCAGAAGTGTACGTTCTACAGAGACAGCATATATCTACATATAAATGGATGGACATATAGTATACATCATACAAATATACAATACAAATGTAAATAAATATGGGGTATATGTATATATATATATACAGATATATGTATATATATATATATATATATATACAGATATATGTATATATATATATATATATATATATATATATATATATATATATAAATGCATGGACATATAGTATACATCATATAAATGATACAAATATAATACAAATGAATATAGTATATACATATAAGGGCATGGACGTACAGTAAATATCATATATGTATACATGCACATATAAAGATTGCAGCTTGGTAGCGCAATGGCTAGAGTGCCAGGAATCAGGAAGACTCATCTTCCTGAGTTCAAATCTAGCCTCAGATGCTTACTAGCTGTGTGACCCAGGCCAAGTCATTTCACCCTGTTTGCCTCAGTTTCCTCATTTGTAAAATGAGTTATAGAAGGAAATGGCAAATCAATCTAGTATCTTTGCCAAGAAAACTCCAAATGAGGTCATGAGGAGTCAGCCAGGATTCAACAAAAACAACAACAACATGTACATGCATATACCCATGCACATGCATATCTACCCAAGCCGCACAACATATATGTGTCATGCATGCACAATACATGTATGTGCAAATATTTGTGTGTTATGCATACACAACACATGTGTGTGAGTATATACACATACACATGAGAGTTGATGAGATCACCAAGAATACAGACTAGGAAGATAAGAAGGTCTAACACTCGGGTATTAGCCACTGCCTGGCAGAGTCGTATGGAAGACAGATTTAGAGATAGCATGGACCTTCAAGATTAGTGAGTAATCCTCAAAGGGTCATAGGTCTGAAGCTACCAGAGACCTTAGAGGTCGAACACTCCCACCTCCTTATTTTATGGAAAGGTCTGATGCCCACGCATGCTGAGACTTATCCAGGCTCACACAAAGGGCAATCACCAGAGGCAAGGTTTGAACCTCTGTCTTCTGAGTCTAGAGTCAGTGATGGAAAGTGATGGGCCCAAGGTCATGAGCTAGTGAACAGGAGAAACAGCCTCCAGATTTCATTTCTCTGACTCCCCCTCAGCCCACTTGGCATTGGAATGGGCTCTCCTTCGCAGGCTGGGCTAGTTGTAGAAAATCCATCTTGAGCACACTGACCCTCAGGATGCAGAGACAGACAAGGTGGACTTACCATCATGTGAGAGCTGCAGAGGCCTGCAGGTATCAGCCTGATCCCTCTCCTTGGGCAAAGCAAACAGTCTGGCAACAAGAGATGCAGAGATGGGCTGAACGAGCAGATGAGTGAGGTCGGATCGGCTTTCTCTGGAGCTTCCATCTGTATTAGGAAAGGCAGGAGGAGATGCTCAGGAAGGGAAAAACACAGAGAGTCCCAGAAGGGTCCTACACAAAAAATGACTCTTAGGTCTACAAAGCATAGATGAGCTGTGACACGATACTCTTCTCTCAAATGATCAGGATAGAGAAAGGGTGTCGGCAGCTACTCGTCTCTAAGTCAGTTTCTAGGATTCAGTTTGCTTGCTTGCTGCATCCCACCAATGTGACAAAGCTTGCAGGCTTTAGGGTGGTGGGGTGGGAGATGTGATTTCAAAACGATCTGTGTGCTGGAAAGTACAAAGAAGAAATCGTGATTAGGTGGGCTCCAGAGACAAAAGAAGGCCAAAATATGTTTATGGAAAAAAGGAATCAAAAAACTTGGCTGAATTCTGCATATATCCTGAGTCAAAAGGGAAATTCTATACACATATACGATTTATATGTATCTAAATGTACATATAAATGTGTGTATGTATCTCACTTCTCTCCTCCCCCTGATCCTTCTTTGCCCACCTTTCTCTCTGTCTCTCTGGATGTGTGTGTGTGTGTGTGTGTGTGTGTGTGTGTGTGTGTGTGTGTGTGTTCAGAAATGCAGCATCAAGCAGCCCATTGCTTCTTCCAGTACAGGCCAATATTTCCCTAGCACTTTTACTGGAGAAAAACGCTATTAAAATTTTTGAGCAACTTAATTTCACAGAGCTACAAGGAGTGAGGTACTTCACAGGACTATGATCTAAGCATCAGAAGACAGGCTATATACAAATGAGAAAATAAGTTATAAAAGTGTTCTCCTAATTTATCACTTGAAAACTACAAGGCTGGAAAAAATGCTAAGTGTCTAGGTTTTAAAGTTTGCTGAAGAAGAAAAGAAAGCCCTCTTTAAGGAAAAGGAAGAGTCACTCATAAGAAAAAAAGAATTCTAGCTCTTTCTCCTGAGTTGGGGTAAGGATCATTTGTACTATAAGCTTTAATAGGTCTATACTTTGTAGGAGAATAAAAATAATTCAATTCAATGAGCATTTATTTAGTAAGCACTTATTAAAATCTTTCAATGTTGTAACAGAATAACACATTTCAATTTGACTCAATTTAATAAGCACTTACTGTGTGTCAGACACTAAAAATACAAAAGCTAAAAATAAAATAAACCTGATCCCCAAAAGCTTAAATTCTATTTATTTATTACTTTTTATTATTATATTACTTCTCTGCAGCAGCTCCAGGAGGAAGGTAGTATAATCATCATTCTGCTGATTTCTGTGATAAAGAAGTCAGGACTCAGATGGCTTGGGTGATCCAAACTCCTCCACTCTGAATACCTGTCTCACTTGGGGCACCTTCCCCAGGCCTCAGTTTCTCCATTTGTAAAATGAGGGCATTTCAGATGAGACAGTGACTGAGGTCCCTCCCAGATTTATGTTCATGATCCTATCATCCCGGAGTTTTACACAAACTCAGCCAAGGTTCAAACCCAGCCTTTTCCCCATTCTAGGAGGGAAGAGTGGCCCCTGGGTCTCCTCGAAGCTTTGCAAATGTTTCCTTCTCTCTACCAGATCCACATTTCAAGTTTCTGACAACTAGATTTTGTGACATGTGTGTTAATCAGAAATGAGAGCATTAACAACATGAGAACCAAATACCAGTGACGTGACAAATGAAAAATCATCAAGTATATAGTGCACATCCAAAGTCATACATAAGGCTGGCCATGATGGCCCATGCCTAGAACCCTTGCTACGTAGGAGCTTGAGGCTGACGGGTCATTTGAGCTCAAGAATCCTGAGCTGAAGTGAATAAAACCTACCAGATATCAGCACTAAATCCAGGACCAATATGGTGTGCCTGTGGAAGGAGAGGGCCATCTGGCTGCCCAAGGAGGGAAGAAGAGGTCCAAGTCAGAAACAGAATAGTTCAAAGCTGCCACGCCACTCAGTAATGGATCAGTTCTCTGAGCGACCGCTGCACTGCCAACGTAGGCGAGATAGAGGGACGGCTCAAAAAAGGGCATCTGGAATAGATGCTTAGTAAATATTTGTTGATTGCTATAATTTGTAGTTTCATTAAGGCTGACATTTCTGGACAAAACTATTTTAAAACTCTGTCCTGAAATTTCTACCTAGATAACTCTCTCAATCATTATAACTTTCATTTTCTACAAAATGATGCTGAAGAATATAAATTGAAAAAGGTAAAGGATACCTATATCTCTATATATGTTATATACACATGTATTTATATGCATGTATATGTATACATTTACACACATACATATATACATATATTTATGTATATATATATATATATATATATATATATATTTACTCAATAGGCTCTCTATTCTTGTTTAAATGAAAAATAATCTCCAATAAGCGGATCCCATCAATGCCTGTCCTTTCTTTGCATATCTGACCATTTCTTCCACAATAAGCTGGCCACAGGGAGCCCACCTAGAATGCATGTTGTCTTAGGTAATTTCTCTCTACATCATAAAGACAGTAGAGGAGCACAGAGGCGGCCCATTGGTTGTCCCTCACATACAATGCTCACCCATCACCAGCACCCCTTTGGCCCTATTAACACTTTTTCAAAGTGTTCCTAATATTCATTTGGCTTTAAAATACTATATTTTGAACTAGACCAAATACAAGCTTCAATAAATAAAAATGATCTTTTAGATCAATTTCTCTGTTGATAAAAGACTGTTAAATGTACTCCCTTGATGCTCTAGAATGCCCTGCTAATGATGTGAAATAATAAACTTTCAAAAGTTAAATATGGTGATCCCTACACTCTAATTGTATATACCCACAACATTGACTTTCCCCAGCATTACTAATAGACTAGCATTAGTTCTGAAATATCTGAAGTGAGTGGCTCATTAATTTTTCACCTTAAGCTTAATGGAAATTTGACAAACAGTTCACTTCTGAGAACAGACACTAAAAGGAGGACTTTACAGAACACTAAGATTAAATTATAGCAAAAAGTAAGGGGAAAAGCACATTTTATTAAATAAGATTAGCTCAGGGAAGAATTCCATTGCCCTCCATTATATGGAGCTTGTATATAAAATCTTAACACACTTCCACTATTTTTATTCACTTATATTTTTAAGCACCTCGATGAACTACTAGTCCCAGTTTTATGCATAGGAAAAATAAGACAAAGACATAGATTAAGTGATTTTCTTGTGTGAATTCGAATAGCCATAGAGCTCAGATTTTAGTCTTTTTTTTCAGTCATTTCTGATTCTTTGTGACCCCATTTGGAGTTTTCCTGGCAAAGATACTGGAGTGGTGTGCCATTTCCTTCTCCAGCTCATTTCACAGATAAGGAAATTGAGGAAATCAAGGTTAAGTGACTTACCCAGAGTCACATAGTAAGTGTCCGAGGCCAGATTTGAACTCAGGAAGACTAATCTTCCTGATTCTAGGTGTGGTATTCTATCCACTGTGCACCTACCTACCCATAGAGCTCAGATCCCAATGATTAAAAACAAAAACAAAAACAAAAAACTTAGCTGGTATCAATCTTTTTTTTCAAGTAAAATACAGTATAGTACAATCTCTTAACATACTTATCCTACTTTAAATTGATAAGTAATGCTCACTGACTTAAAGGGAACTTCCTAATAATGAGAACTAGCCAATAACGTACTGCTTTTGATAGAGTGAATGAATGAATGAATGAATGAATGAATGAACGATAAAGAGTCTTCCCCAAAAGGATGGACGCTCAGTTATCAGTACTGCAAATGGGATTCTTGTACAGCTACGGTTCAGCCGCTGAAAGCCTCACTTCTTGTGATTCTGCAGTTTTGTAACCCTCAGATACTACATCTTTCAAATACTTCTGCATGGATCTTTGCCCAGAATACAGATTAGAGGGGGTCACAAAAAATAGACTTTGGCCAATGGAAAAACTAGGAACATAAGATCAAGTTAAAGGAAGCCTGGGTGTAGAGAAGTGATCAGTTGTGAAGCAGGAGAAGACTGAGGTCTGAAGTCAGATTAGAAATACCAGAGGTCAGAGTCAGGTGGAGACCAAGCAGGTAGTTAAGTCCTGACTGCTACTTACTACCTGTGTGACACTGGTGAGTCCTATAACAACTTTTAGACTCAATTTCCTTAACTCTAAAATGGTGAGTTTTGACTAAATGATGTCACAGATCTCTTCCACCTCTAAATTGAACTTGATAAATAGTAAGGATTTCTTGTTTTAAAAAAAAAGGAAGACAGAAAGAGAGAGAGAATAGAGGGAAGAAGGAAGGGAGAAAGAAAGAAGAAAAGAAAGGAAGAGAGAAATAAAGGAAGAATGAAAGAAAAAAGCAAAGAAGGGGGAAAGAAAGAAAAAAAGAAGGGAGGATAAAAGAAGGAAGAAGAAAAGAAAAAAGAAAGGAAGGAATGGATGGAAAGGAAGAAAGAGAAAGAAAAAAGTGAAGAATGAAGGAAGGAAAGAAAGGAAGAAAGGAAGAAAGAAAGGAAGAAAGGAAGGAAGGAAGGAAGGAAGGAAGGAAGGAAGGAAGGAAGGAAGGAAGGAAGGAAGGAAGGAAGGGAGAGAGAGAGAGAGAGAGAGAGGAGAGAGAGAGAGAGAGAGAGAGAGAGAGAGATCAAAAGTATGCCAAAGGCCAAGAAGTCAAAGAAACCAGGAGTCAGGGCAATGCTGATATTCAAACAGGAAATAGGGAAGGGAACAATGCGTACCTTGCATCTGGTGTTTTACAAATATGCTCTCATTTTGATCCTCACAACAACCCTGGCAGGTATTTGCTATTATTGTCATCATTTTACAGAGGAGGAGACTTAGGCAAACAGTTAAGTGACTTACCCAGGGTCACACAGCTATTAAGTGTTGGAGGCTGGATTTGAACTCAGGGCTTCCTGATGCCAGGCTGAGGAACCTATCTATCATCTGCCCCACCTAGCTGCCTCAAGAAGAAACATCAGAAACCCAAGTCATCTGAGTAGCAGACAAATCTCTAACACAAACAAGCATGGTGTA